GCAGTGCTCTCTAGTGGACAACCTCTGTTTTCTGGGTGATAATTATCATGCTAAAATTAATAGAAATAGTAGAGAATCAATCTATGCTCTGTTTCATTTCAGCCTCCAAGGCTGCATTGAGTGCACAATCATTTGTAGAAAAATAAGTTGTGCAGCAACTCTCCCTTCACTTTTCTCTTGGCTTATAGCCTTTTCAAGTTAAATAATTTATCATCAGTGCAATAGTGACTTTGATGCTATTTTCATCCTCTTTGAAGCTGTCTGACAACATTGTGGAAGACATCATGCTAAAAAGCATGGAGCAAGTCTCATCAGCCAGACACAAATTCAACAGTTGAAAAGTACAGACTGTCTGTTTTGCCTGGATGCTTTTATGGGGATTAAGAATACTTAGCCTAAGTGACTCCATATTGGTTTCTTATCATTATAATTATAACATCAAACAATATACAGTTTACAATGATCATATCTGGTCTCTATACTTTGTGGGGAAAAAGATCTATATGATATTATCCTTCTTGATCATAGCCCTCATGGTAAACCCTCCAGGAGAGCTCTTGCTCACCCAGAATCTTTCCAACTTGAGAGCCCCTTCTTATAGACCCAAGTTTCCCATAGGAACATGTTAGCTTACACTTAGAACTGGAGGGCACTAGAGGTCTTTATTCTTTAACAATAAAAACAATGAAATGGGGTGGATCAGTGAAAAAGTAAACAAGTAAAAAGATTCAGAAGATCCACGGAAGAATCCAGAACAACTTTTTCTGGATTTTGGAAGATAGGTAGACAGAACAAAAATGAAAAATTCAGAAAAGAGAAATAAAAATGTGATATGAATTAACAATTATGTTGTTCATGAGAAGAAGAGATAGTTGACCCCTTTGAAGTAAAATGAAATAAGTACTAAGATTAGTGCCTGCTATTGGCCAGGCACTGTTCTAGGAATTGGAGTTACAAAATTAAAAAGAAACAGTCTCTTTCTTCAATTACATTCAAAGGGAAGAGGCAGCACATACATATATAAGCATGCATAAAATATTTATACAGGTATGTAATGAATATATTATATAAGTGATTTTATATTATATATTTGTATTACATAGATATAATATAATGAATAGAGCAAATACAAGAAAACATTGGAGGATAATCAAGGCATTAGAACTGGAGGGATGAGGAAAAGCCTCATGCAAAGGAAGATTCCTGATACTTGAAAGCTTAGGGTTTCCATAAAACTGAGTTAGGGGAGAGCATTTCAGGCATGGGGGAGAGACAGATAAGAGAACTGGGGACAGAACATAGATGGTCACCAATAAGGCCAGCATGCTAGGCTCATAGAATGTGTGAAGGGGAAAAATGTGACAGAAGACTGGAAAAAGGAGGTTTGGGCCAAATTGTGAGGAATATAAATATCAAAGAGAGAGGTTTGAGGTATATAGAGATTTAAGATGAACTTGTGCTTAAAGAAAACCACTGTGGTTTCTGTGTGGAGGACAGATCAGAATGTCTGCTAAGGATTAGAGATGGGAATCCACAAGTGCTATCAGGGAGAGATCAGCAGGGCAGAGTATGTGGGGAGAAGGAAGGTATAAGAACAATTGAAAGGCAGGATGGGACTAGTTTATGAAACATTTTAAAAGTTAAACAGAATATTTTTTATGTTTGGTCCTAAAGGTAATAGGGAGCCAAAAAAAAATGTGTCAACCAAATCAGACCTGTGATTGGGAAAGAACAATTTCAAAGTTGAGTAGAGGATGGACTGGAGAGAGTAGAGACTTGAGGCAGGGAGACCCACAAGCAAACAGTTGCAGTAGTCTATGTGAGAGTTGATAAATGCTTGCAGCAGGGGGGTAGCAGGATCAGAAGAAAGGTACATCACACACACACACACACACACACACACACACATACATGCACACACACACGCACACACCACAAATACTTTATGAACCCCTAGCCTAACATCATTTTCCTTTCATAAATCAATTCTAGACTGGTAATCAAGCACATGCTATAGACATATCTCACCAAAATTTAATCACTGCATTAGGAAATATATATATATATATATGCATTCATATACACATAAATAATTTAAATAAATAAATAAATTAATTAATTTAATTAATTGATTGATTGATTAATTTAACTATTTTTGGAGATGAGACAACTGAAGTATTTACTAAGTAGTTACTTAAGTGGTGAAATGGCCCGACTCAAAAACTAGTTAACATTGATTCCATATTAATGTGAAGGAGGGAAAGGAATTTTTCCTTGGCTGTATGCTGTTGAACACATGCATGCATTGGTGGAATAAATGACTCAATGGCACGCTTATGAAATTCAGCTAAGATAAAGCTGGGAAGGAGACATTCACTAGATGACAATATCAAAATTCCGAAAGATCTTAATAAGATAGCCCATTTAGTCAAATTCAAAGTGATGTGATTTAATAAGGTAAAATATAAAGTCTAATATCTGGGTTCCAGAAACCAACTTCTCAAATACACGGCACAGACAGGTTGGTAAGACAGGTAGTTTATTTTGGGGTTATGTAGTTGGGAAGCATCTCAGAAGTTATTAGTGGACTGAATGTCATTATAAGGCAGTTGACACTTGAATAACACTCATAAATTGTATGTAATTTATATCCCAAGGACATTGAGATAATGTCCATTATGTGGGCAGTAATATTTCAATGATATAATCTGTCCCACTCAGGACACCTGCAAAATATTGCTCCAGTTCTTAGCTCTACATTTTAAGCAGGATGTTGTTATAAGCTAGAATTTCTACACATGAATGACTAGGATGATTAAAAGCCTTAAGTCTCTGTTATGAGAAGCAGAAGAATAATTTGGTAGCATTTAACCTAGGATTAAGTAGGCTTTCGGGATATTGTGATATACTGCCTTAAGTATTTTAAGGATTTTGGAAGAAATAATTGTATTTCTTTTACTTGTTTCTAGAGTGTGGAATTGGGAGCAGTAGGTAGAAGTTCCAAAGTCACTATTTCTGACTGGTATAAGGAAAACTTTCAAATGATTACAGATACACCAATGCAAAATAGACTGCTTTGGAAAGAGATGTATTCTCCCTTGGTGGATAACTTCCCAGAAAGCCTAGAGAGCACTTCTAAGGTAGAATCCTGTAGAAGGAAATGGTTTTCAGGTCTCTTCCATTTCCAAAATTATGATTCTGTTAGTTTAACAATTGGATAGAAAAAAAAAGCAGGTAACTGGAGCTGAAACCTCCAAGTGTGGAAATGGTCAAAGTTTGAGACTGACACCTAGAGTCTGCCTTGTATGAGTAATAGCTAAGGAGAGAGTGACTTGAGCTATAGGTGCAAAACACTCTAGGCCTCAAAAACATAGTACTGTTTGTTTTTTCCCCAAAATGGAAATAAAAACCCATGAAGGACAAATAAGATTCCTTCCACTACTGTGGGTAAAAAGGGAATTAAATTGCATTTAGAACATGTTTCAATAGCCCATGCAATAGTGAATGGTGCATAGATATTGTTGCTTTATATTTAAATGGCTTTGGAATCTTGAATAAATTATCCGCCATTCCTGCAGAAGTCATGGGCAAGAGACTGAGTTTCACTTTTGACCTTGTATGTATCTAATGATATGTAGGGTTTCACCTACTCTGTATAAATAGATCAAATTTTAATGAGGAGACATAGTGGGTAAAGCAGCAGACCTGGAATCAGGAACATTTTATCTGAATCCTGCCTCAGATACTTCCTCACTTTGTGAACCTGGGTAAGTGGCTTATATTCTCTCTGCCTCAGTTTCTTCATCTGTTAAAAGGAGATAAGTGGACAATCTAACTCACAGTTCTTCTATGAGAATCAACTGAAGTAGCATGAACAAAGTGCTTTGCAAAATGTAAAGTGCTAGACATAGCTAAGCTATCATTGATATTACTAAAATAACTAATACTGTGAATAGTGAAAAGTCATCTGAAATTCCACATCATACAAATCAGATTAGAAAAGATGATAAAAACAAAAATGATAAAGATGGAAGGGGTGTAGGAAACGTACAATACTGCACTGTTCTTGGAGCCAGAAATTTGTCCAAGCATCCTAGAGATCAGTTTGCACCTTAGTTTAGAGAATTATTCAATTATTCATACGTTGTGACCTAGAAATAACACTATTACACCTGAAACACCAAAGAGAGAAAAGAATGAGGGAAAAATTCAATGTACAAAAATGTTTTCAGCTACTCTTTTTCATAGTGGCAGAGACCTGGAATGAAACTTAGCCTACCTATTGGGGAATAATTGGAGAAATCATTATCTCTCATTTAGAAAGAATAGAGGAAAGAACAAGTATTCTAGCAAATCAAAGCAAGTTCATGAGAGAGACAGAAGCTGTAGTGAGCCCAGGGAAGAGATAGAAGACAGACAGAGATTTTAAAAGAATAGGGGGTGCACATACAACAATCAGAATTAATATAGGGATTTCATTTACGCCCAGTAAAACAGGAGGATGAACCAGTGTCTCCCTGAGTTATCAGGAGGAAAATTCACATCTTTTCACTAAATTCTCTAGACGTACTTCCGTTGTCTTCCAAAACCCTGTATCTGAGGTTTGTATATAAAGATACACTCACCATGCTGGTATCAGCTGCTGACGGAGAGAACAGGTCTGTGATGCCCAGTAAGGAAACAAGGAAACAGGATAGGTGTGTTTGTATACATGTATATGCTACTCATGAACTAGCCTGAGTTTAGATAGAAGGACAGAACAGCAAAGGGCTATTTGTAGGTGCACCAGGTTCTCTCATCTCACCTTCCCCAGAGCTGTAATTACCATGTCACCTGTAACAGACAAGACAGTCTGACAGGGTAGTCAGGATTGTCTCAGATAAAGTTAACTTTTGTCCCAGGTGTAAATTATCACCAGGAATTACTGTTACTTCATGAGCATTCCCCTCAGACTGACTAACAAGTACTGAGAAAGGCTCAACATCTAGTCAGTGTCTCAGCTAGGAGAGAAGCTTTCCTGAGCTGCCGCAGATGGCAGAGTCGGGGGGGTCAAAGATACTGGAAAAGGCAAAGAACATTGAAGTCCTAGGTATGAGGGCCTCTTATGTCCACAGTTTTACCTTGCCTCTGAACTATTTAGATACGTTCTTAGGGTCAGAAAATTCATTCCCGTTCATCCAATTCCACCTGCCTGCACTCCTGCCTCTGATCTTGCTTTCTTTCTAGGTTCGAATTACCAAGAATTTTTGGAATGACCTTAAATTTCCTTGCATGAAAAGGAGACTATGCTGTCTGCCAAATTTTTCATGTTTCATGGCCCTTAAAAGACTTTTAAAAACATCTAGTAATGGACCCAGTTCTCCCTTTGCTCTGAAACCTAGTTTATTTCCAGTAGAGAAAACATCATGCAGTGGAAAGAATACGGGTCAAAGCACCTGGGCTTGAACATATATTTTAGAAGCTAGTAATTGTGAGCAATGAATCTACAGGTGACTTGAATGCTCTTAACCTCAATTTTCTCATGTATAAAACTGGGAAAACATTCTTTATAAAAGCAATATCTTGAGACTCTCATGAGGAAAATACATACTTTTGGTACAATATAGGAGACATTATTCAATGTAGTTCAGGCATTTTGAAGCTATATATTTAGCACAGCATCTCCTCCTCACTCCTTGAAATTCCATACAATTCATATTTCTTTATAACAACAAGTAACAAAAAATATAGAGAATCTTTTTAATATGTCAGAATACACTTAAAATATGGGAATTAAGCTATTAAGAAACTTAGAGAATTTATTTAAATTTAAATATAAAGCATATTTGTAAAAGCACTAAAACAGAGACAGTAGAGTGTAGTTGAGAGAGGGCTGGCTTGTCAAGGCTTGCCTCTGACATACATTGACTGTGAAACCCTGGGCAAGTTGTTTTACCTCTCAGTCAAATAATATATACACAGGGAAATAATAGAGTCTCTTTTTTGGTAGAGCAAATTTCCTTCCCAGATGTTACTTGGGCTGAAGAAGTCACAGATCAAAGAGAAAAAAAATAACTGAACCCACAAAAAATTTGCCAAGTTAGGACAAACTGATATAGCAAAGATCATAACATTACCCAATTTAATTTACAGGCTGAACACTTATCAAAATGTCAAACAAATACTTTATGCAATAAGACAATTAAAAAGAAAAGTCACATTCAGGAAAACACCAGTAATTCCAGCAAAAATATATTAGAATTAAGAAAAAGGAGGAATTACATTCCTTATGCAAATTAATTTAAAAAGAAATGATTAACTAAACTCTCTTGTTTGGAAAGCACACATGCTTAGTGGGTGGGAATTCAATAATGATATAGCTAAATAGAACTCAGATCTATAGGATCAAGAGGAGAGCAATGTTAATGACAAATGACTGGGAGAAGATCAAAGGGGAAGAATGTTGAGTTTAGAAGTATAGGGTTGAAATAGTGACACGTGGTGGACAAAAGGACAAATATATTGCTGGTCACTTCAATGCATTTCTTTCAATCACTATTCAGGTAAAAAACAAAACGTTTGCCTTTAACAGTTTACCCAGCTTGGCATGTAATGCACCCTTATGATCCAGCCGCAAGGATAACTCAACAACCCCACAAATTAGAATGGTTACATGTATAAAAGAAATTTTGAAAGGCCATGTTGACAGACTCTCATAACTAGTCTTCACCCTCAACAGAGCAATTCCAAAAAAGGGACAGTTACCCCTCACTTGTTTCCTTGCAAATACACTGTGCTTGGTGTGTGCTGAGGCCAGTGGGATGTTTCCACATTTTCCTGGAGCTACATTGAAGCGCATGGCACTTTGGCTGCTGGAAACTGCTCATTGGTCCAGGGTTATGCTGAAGCATATGACGGGGGTCTGGCATTGGTGGCTACCTGGTTGCTTTGGCACCCCTAAGGTAGAAGTTACTTATTTGCCCAGGATTACACTGAAGCATGTTGAGTCTGGCCTTTAGAGGTTGCCTGTTTGCCTAGGACTATGCTGAAGCCAATGGCAGTTCTCCAAAGTGGAGTCTGCCATTCCACTGGCTATGCTGAGGCAAGTTGGGAGTCCTGGGCTTGGCATTTGCCTGTTATACCACACTGGGGCTCAGGATCTACTGCTGGTTTGCTGAGTTGGGGCTTACTGCTGGCATGCTGGAATGCTTCCTGTCCTTGTCTGTGTGCCCCCTCCCCCTTACCCAAGTGAGACAGACCTTTCTTGCCAATTTTTCAAGTTTCTTTTTTTAATTCATTTTTTATTATTTTATTTTTAGTTTTCAACAATCACTTTCATATGCTTTTGAGTTTTAAATTTTTCTCCTCCTCCCTCCCCAAGATGGTGTGCAATCTGATATAGCCTCTACATATATATTCCTATTTAACATATTTTCACATTAGTCATGCTGTAAGGAAGAATTAGAACCAATAGGAGGAACCACAAGAAAGAGGAAACAAAACAAAATAGAAGAGAAAAAAAGAGCAAATAGTATGCTTCAATCTGCACTCAAACTGCATAGTTCTTTATCTGGATGTGGATAGCATTTTCCATCATGAGACTTTTGGAGATGTCAGAAATCCTTGCATTGCTGAGAAGGGCTAAGTCTATCAAAGTTAGTCATCACACAATGTGGCTGTTACTGTGTACAATGTTCTCCTGGTTCTGCTCACTTCACTCAGCATCAGTCTATACAAGTTTTTCCAGGTTTTTCTGAAGTCAATCAGTCATCATTTCTTATACCACAAAAGTATTCCTTTACATTCATATACCACAGCTTGTTCAGTCATTCCCCAATTGATGGGTATCCCCTCAATTTCCAATTCTTTGCCACCACAGAAAGAGTTGCTATGAATATTTTTGTATATGTGGGTCCTGTTCCCATTCATATGATCTCTTTGGGATACAGCCCTAATAAATTCCCAGTATCCCCTTCCCTCTTAATCTTGGTTGCATTGGCTTTGTGCAAAAACTTTTCAATTTGATATAATCAAAATTATCCATTTTGCATTTCATAATATTCTCTATCTCCTGGTTAGTATAATTCTTCTGTTCTCCACAAATCTGACAAGTGAACTATTGCTTGCTCTCCCATTTAGCTTATAGTATCAGCTTTTATATCTATATCATGAACCCATTTTGACTTTATTTTGGTATATGGTAAAAGATTTTGGTCTATGACTAGTTTCTGCCACACTCTATTCCAATTTTCCCAGAACTTTTTGTCAAATACTGAGTTCTTATCCCAGAAGCTGAGGTCCTTGGGTTATCAAATAGTAGATTACTATAGTCATTGACTACTGTGTCCTGCATACCTAACCTATTCCACTGATCCACCACTCTATTTCTTAGCTAGTACCAAGCAGTTTAGATGCTTTACACTACAATTTAAGGTCTGGATTGGCTAGGCCACCTTCCCCTGCATTTCTTTTCATTAGTTACCTTGATATTCTGGACCTTTTGTTATTCCAAGTGAATCTTATTTTTTTTTCTAGCTCTATAAAATAATTTTTGATAGTTTGATTGGTATGGCATTGAATAAGTAAATTAGCTTAGGTAGAATTGTCGTTTTTATTACATTGGCTCAGCCTACCCATGGGCAACTGATGTATTTACAATTATTTAAATCTGATTTTATTTGTGTGAAAAATGTTTTGTAATTATGTTCATATAATTTCAGCAGGTAGACTCTTAAATATTTTATAATGTCTACAGTAACTTTAAAAGGAATTTTTCTTTCTATCTTTTGCTGTTGGGTTTTGTTGGTAATACATAGAAATGCCAATGATTTATGTGGGTTTATCTTATAGCCTGCAACTTTAAAGTTGTTTATTATTTCAAGTAGTTTTTTATTTGATTCTCTAAGGATATCATCATATCATCTGCAAAGAGTGATTGCTATGTTTCTTCTTTACCTATTCTAATACCTTCAACTTCTTTTTCTTCTCTTAATGCTAAAGGTAACATTTCCAGTACCATATTGGACAACAGTGGTGATAATGGACATATTTGTTTCATCCCTGATCTTGTAGGAAATGCTTCTAGCTTATCCCCATTACATATGATACTTGCTGAAGGTTTTTTGTAGATGCTATTTATCATTTTAAGGAAGACTTCATTTATTCCTATGCTCTCTAGTGTTTTTAATAGAAATGGATGTTGCATTTTGTCAAAAGCTTTTTCCACATCTATTGAGATAATCATGTGGTTTTTGACAGTTTTGTTGTTAATATGATCAATTACGTGGATAGTTTTCCTAATATTGAATCAGCCTTGCATTCCTGGTATAAATCTTACCTGGTCATAGTGTATTATTCTTGTGATAAGTTTGTGCAATCTATTTGCTAATATTTTATTTAAAATTTTTGCATCTATTTTCATTAGGGAAATTGGTATATAATTTTCTTTCTCTGTTTTGACCCTTCCTGGTTAGGTATCAGTACCATATTTGTATCATAAAAAGAATTTGGTAAGAATCCTTCTTCACTTATTTTCCCCAATAGTCTATATAGCATAGGAATTAATTGTTCTTTAAATGTTTGATAAAATTTGCTTGTAAATCCATCTGGCCCTGGAGATTTTTTCCTAGGGAGTTAATTGGTGGATTGTTCAATTTCTTTTTCTGATTTCTTTTATAATGTCTACAGTAACTTTAAAAGGAATTTTTCTTTCTATCTTTTGCTGTTGGGTTTTGTTGGTAATACATAGAAATGCCGTGATTTATGTGGGTTTATTTTATAGCCTGTAACTTTAAAGTTGTTTATTATTTCAAGTAGTTTTTTATTTGATTCTCTAGGATTCCCTAAGCATATCATCTGCAAAGAGTGATTGCTATGTTTCTTCTTTACCTATTCTAATACCTAAATATTCATTTAGGCCCCATGTGAACTAATGTAACACACAGGCAGAAGAGTTAGCGGGGGCTAACCAATTCCTGGTGTTCAAGTTCTAAACATCATTGTAACATTTTTGTAAACTACTAGTAAAATACATTCCTGGCCAAATGATGTTTTTCATGTAACATATAATCACAAGTTGA